TATGTGTGTGGAGTGATATCTGTGTGAGTCAGTCTATGTGAGTCAGTCCGTTTATCAGACTTCCGCTGCATACATGCTCTTCCTATATTGGTTGATCTTTGGTTCTGCCTCATACTCGTTGATGCATTCACGAGTATGTAACAGTGTCGGACCACGACGTTGGAATGGCAGTGGTGATTTCCTCCAGGTGATCTGCAGCAAAGTGAAGGCCAGCCAGTTGAGTCTTAAGCTTGGTGATGTCTTTCCATCGTTTGGTTTCCTCGTCCCATATGTGTCGGATAAGCTAGACTCCACGTTGCATCCATTTGAGTCGAAAGTTGCCCGGTGCTCTTGCCACAGAGAAAGGAAGTCCAACTCTGTTACGGATGAAGGGGTTCTCGAAAATGGAGGTATTAAGTATTTCTAGGTGGGTACTGGGTTCTTCCTGGAGCTGTGGAAGCATCTTGTTCCTGGCTTTCAGGATACAGGTCCAAGTAGTGGTGTTTGGTTTGGAGTTAAAGGGTCTCATCAGCAGCGCAGCCCAAACTGCGTCCGGGTCTGAGAAATTTCATTGCTTGGCCAACGTTTGTTGAGCCAGGATGATCCAAGGTTGTTGTTCTACCGTTGTCAGTGCCCTGACAGGCCATTTGGCAAGAAGAGCTCGATTTTGTGTTTCAGGGTCTAGTACTCCTAAGCCGCCTGACTTCTTTTTCTCTGTTATTTTCTTCCAGCTAACCTTACTGATGGCGGACTGTGCTTCCGAGTTCCCTTTCCACAGCAATCTCGTGAGTAGACGTCTGATGTTGGTGAAGGAGTTTGGGGAAGGTGCTCTGATTGAGAATATATACCATATTTTGGATGATGTAAAGGTGTTGATGATTGTGGCCCTTCCAAATAAGGATAAGCACCGTGTTTTTGACCAGGTGGCGCAAGAATCTCTAATTCTGTTTTCTATGATAGTGTCCTGTACTTCTTTGGAATTCTCGAAAGAGATCTGGATACCCAGGTACCTTTCGGGTTCCGATTCGGGTTTGACTGGGATGCCTAAATCGTATGCAAGGGGTTGATCGTTGGGGGTGAGGGTGACTGACTTTTGCCAGCTCACCCTCATCTCCGATGTTGCTTCGTAGGTTGATAGACAATGTTCCAAGGCTGGCAGGGAGGTTATGGAGTTATCAGAAATACCTCAGAAATCGTCAGCAAGTGCAGATACCTTGATGGAGTAGGATGGAGATACTTGGAGTCCTGTGTAGTTTGGGTGTGCTCTAACCATATTAAGTAAGACTTCGAGTTGGATTACAAACAGGGAAGGGGCTAAGGGGCATCCCCGACGGAGTGAACGAGTGACTTTGAAGGTAGTAGAAGGGTGTCCGTTGACTAAGACTCTGCCAGATGAAGCTCCATATAGGGCTTTAACCAGTTTCCTGAAGTTTTGACCCACTCCCACTCTGTCTAGTGTGGCTTGGACAAAGTCCCAGTTCACCCGATCATATGTCTTTTGAAAATCAATAAGGACAATAGTTTTGTTGAGATTCTGGTTTTTAATCCAGTCTATCGACTGTGAAATCGTCATCACGTTGTCTAACACTTGCCTACCTGGTATAAAACCAGATTGATCCGGGTGTACCAGTTTATTTAGGAGGGGGTTGATGCGGCGGGCAAGGGTCTTAGCCAGTATCTTACCATGTACATTGAGTAAGGAGATCGGTCTATAGTTCCTAATGTCTGTTTTATCGCCCTTTTTATACAAAAGAGTTATTATGCTCTCCGTTGTGCATGGGCCGAGTGGTTGGTCCGTGAGGATTTGGTTAAAAATCCGGAGTAAGTCCGGTGCCAGGAGTGTCCAAAACTTGAGGTAAAACTCAACTGGTAGACCATTTGGTCCGGGGCATTTGCCCTTGGCCATGCTGTTGACGGCTGCCGTGAGTTCGGTGAGTGTGATGGGGCCCTCTAGGGAGGTCGATTCCATGTCGGAGAAGATGCGAGAAGTTGAGTTCCATAATGCGTGTTCCAGGTGAGGGGGGATGATTGGAGAGTTTGCAGGTTTTTCTGATGTTAAAAGCTGTTCGTAGAAAATCCTGACATATTCGCATAGGGAGGCGGGATCTTACGTTGGGGGTTGGGAGGGATCTGTGGGGTGGGCCAGAACGGTAATGCGGGTAGGGCTGCGGAGATGACTAACTGCTGTTGTTGTTTTGTTAGTTAGACGGTCAGTGTAAAGTATGTTTTTAACTTGTCTATGTGTTTCCCATAGATTGTGGTGTCTGATCTGCATATTCAGCCATTCCTGGATCAACCAAGTTCTTTTCCTGTGTGCTACCATTTCAGAAAAGAAGGAATCAGCGGGTTTTTTTCCGATTAGTTCGATCTTCCTTTTTATCTGAATTTCTTCGTATTTCCTGTTCACAGCCTTGACACGGGAGAGCAGGTTCAGTTGGTTCGATATTAGGGCTAAACCTTTATCCAACCACAAACCGTCATTGTCAAAGACTGCAGTGTTAACTCTCCACTCCTCCCATGTTTTCCATACCCAGTCCACCATCACCGGGTCCTCTAGGACGTGTGCTGAGTCGGAAGAGCCCTTTGCCCCTGGAGGCCTGAGCCCCCAAGTTAAGGCGTATCCACACCGGCATGTGGTCAGACATGGGGTCAGTGGTAGTCTCAGTTGTGTTAGTCAGTTGCAAAGCACTGTCGTTGGTCATGATTATGTCAAGTCTTCTGCGAGTGAAAATTCCGCTGTCCGTTGGAGTGGAAGATACCCACATGTACACGCGTGACTCTGGGTGGAAGGAACGGTATGGATCGAATAATCCAATGTCCGTCATGAAGTCCGTGAGAGCTGCGGATTCACCGGGGTGGGACAGGGGTGTTGTGGAGTCCACTTCTGGGTTTGGAACTGTGTTTCAGTCCCCACCGAGTACCAGGAACTGAGTATTCGGTATTGCTGAGTATAGAGATGAGAGGAAAGATGCTTTGAGACTGTGGTCACTGGGTACATATACTGACATGAAACACCAAGATTGGTTATCAATCTCCAGGATGGTCCAACACCAGTGTCCCATCGGGTCCGTTTTGGAGTCCTTGATATGGGATGTGAGACTTTTATGAATCAAGATGCAT